TACTAAAACTGGTTTTACAGATTATACAGAAAACATTGTCAAAATAATTTGACTTTTAAAAGTTAATTTTTACTCAATATTCACACATACACACAAGAAAAAAAGACAACAATTTTGTCTTCCAGTTACTCTAAATGCAATACTCTGAAGAACATTATTATACTCTCATTATTTTCACTCATCTAACAGGGTAAATTTTTTGCTCTCTGAAAAGGAACTGGACATAAAAAATTGACTTTGTTTCATGTTGAAACAAGAGGAACAATAATGGTGTCAAATTAATTCTTGGTAAATGTAACATTGAAGACATTTTCTGCCAGACATGTCTACAGGTACTTGTGTAGGGAAACAATCATGCTACCACAACAGTAACTTAACAAATAACAATTTGTAAGCACAATGATATTTATTGTAGAACCATATGTTATCTACAATATATATACATATACAGGACCTCTAATCCGGCATTCCAAAATCTGGAAGATCTCAAAATCCGGCTATTTTTGAAAATGCAGTGGTTTTCCGACTTACCGCAACACATGTGTGGCCCTATAAACACCACATCTTTTTCCTGCCTCATTTTACTGTACTTTCTAGGTTGTGTGTATAAACTAGTTTGCTAGTAAACTTTATCAACATTTCATTTACCTGTTCTACCCTTAAAAATGTTGAAAAGGCCAACAACAAGTTCTGTGGATGCTGGGAGAGTGAAGAAGAAGCTTTTTTTCCCTCGGTATAAAGCAAAAACTGATGAAAATGGACAAGAGAACTTTAGTGAAGAAGTTAAGTAAGGAGTTTGGTGTTGGAACATTGATGATCTATGACCTCAAGAAACAAAAGGAAAAGTTACTTAAGATTTATGCCAACATGGATGTTCCACATTAAATGGATAACAGGGAAACATTGCACTTGGATAAAGAGTTGTTAGAGTGGATCAGAACTTTAAATTGGATTGTACTGTTATCATTGCTCAAGCAAAGATGTTTCAAGAGGAGTTAGGCCTAACAACTCTGTGTGAGTATTCGTCCTTGTGGTAGAACAAGTTTAAGAAACATTATGGCCCATGTTTGCTGAAGATGTGTGGAGAAAAGCCTTGGCTGACAATGAAGCTGCTGAGGCATTTATAGAAGAATTTGTAAAAATGGTTTTAGATGAAGAATTAATGCCAGACCAAGTGTATAATGCAGATGAGATGTTGCTATTTTGGTGGTACATTCTCAGGAAAAACTATTTTACAGCAGAAGAGACAGCAGCAGCAGGTTTCAAAGACTCTAAAGAACGACTTACCATTCTCGCTTGTGCTAATGCATGTAGTTCACACAAATGCAAATTGTTAATTACTGGAAAAAGAGTCAGAACTCAAGAGCCTTTAATGGGATCAAGGTTTTCTTCATGCATTATAAGGCCAATAAAAGAGCATGGATTATTTGCCCATATTTATCGAGTGGTTTGAAAACCATTTCGTACCTAAAGCTTGGGCTCATTGTTGGGCTGCCAGGCTCCCTGATGATTGCAAGACAGTGTTACTGCAGGATTATTGTTTTGCACAGCCAGCTGCAGAACTACTCATCAAAGACAATGTTTTTGCAATTTATTTGCCTCCTATTTGTACATCCCCAATACAATCCATGGTTCAGGGTATTCTGCATTCCTTCAAGTGTAGATACAAGGTCAAGCTTATGCATAAAGTGCTTAGTGCATGCAACAATGGCACAGGAATTAAGGCATTCCAAAAAGAACTTATTTTAAGGATGCAATATGGAGTACTAAAAAGGCATGGAATAGTGTATCTCAGGAAATTTTGTGAAATGGATAGCATAGGTTATGGCCTTCTATGCTATTTTAAGATAATGAAGATGACATTATTACAGATTTCAGTAGCTTTCAAGTTTTCCAAGAAAAAAAACATCATGAGTAATTTGTTGAAATATGCTAAAGGCCTAACATGTGTTGAAGCTAATCATTGTTTGTTTGTTTGATTTTTGAATTTTTGTGCATAGCTAGATGAGGTCTATCTGCTCTAGCTGCCCCTAATTTAGCAGTGAAAGACTAGATGGAAGGCAGCTAGTCATCACCACCCACCGCTAACTGTTGGGCTACTCTTTTACCAACAAATAGTGGGATTGACTGTCACATTATAAGGGGTGTTCCAAAATAAATCACACTTTTTTCCCCGATGTAATGACAAACTTGGTAGGACCGTGAATATCATCACCCATGAGAAAACGTCATTTCAACGTACTCTTGGGTGTTTGACTCTTCGAATTTCATTTTCTGCGAAAACTTTTGAATCATGGTGCTCACTAGAACTCAGATTCGTGTCGCATGTGCTGCCTTCGGGATGGCTCAGAAACTAGTTGCAGACATGCTCCGAGAATTCAAGTCTTCCAATCGATAGATCATACTGCCAGATTTGAAAAATCTGATTAATGCCTCAAAAATTTTCAGAATTGTTAAATTTGAAAGAGTGGTCCATGAAAAAGTGGTGGAATGTGGATTGGGAACTCTCCAGATTTAAATCTTGCTGAACATTTCAGAGCTTTCATTCAACAATGTACAGAAAAAATGTTGGAAACTTTGCCTGAATGCGATGGACACAAATGTGAAACCTTGATTCGTGGCCCAATCAAGCGATATTTATACTTGGAATTACTTTTTTGATTTAATTAAAATCTTATTTTACTTTGTTATGCTCTTGGGGAAAAAAGTGTGATTTATTTTGCAACACCCCATGGCTAAAAGGGCGAGCATATTCGGTGGGAAGGGGATTCGAACCCAAGACCCTCAGATTGCAAGTCAAGCACCCTAACAACCTGGCCCAAAGCTAAATTGATAGATGAAGCAGTCAAAGAATGTTTAAATGTAGATAATGATGCTCCAGTTGGCCTCCAACTCACAGTGAAATTGTTAACATGGTGATGCATGATGATAAAGGTCATGACAGTGATAATGATGATGAGGAAGTGATAAATGAAGAGGAAAAAATTCCAATTGATAGGTGTATTGCCTTAGCTGAAGAATTAATTCATGGACTGCAACAAAAAGTTTCATAAGTGAGCAATATATAATGTGGGTGTGTAAAATACAAGAAGCGATGATTAGAGTAAAGACAAAATACATGAAGCAATTAAAATTGCAAGACATGTTAAAGAAAAATTGTGGATTGATGTGCCATAACTACAACTGATGATCCTGATGACCCTAAGCCTTCAACTTCAAGCAACATGTACTCTCCTAGAATAAGATAATAAGAGATCATACTTTGTTAATGGAAAAAAGGAAAGTACACTGGTAAGTACCTGAGTACTTAACTATATATTTTAGTAAGTAAAAACCTTAGTATATTACTTTTTATCACTGTACTACAGTATATTTCAGAGACATGTATTTATATATACAGATATATATACCTGTATGTATGTGTGTGTGTGTGTGTGTGTGTGTGTGTGTGTGTGTGTGTGTGTGTGTGTGTGTGTGTGTGTGTATATATATATATATATATTTGTACGTACGTACCGTAACCCCGAAACCCCCAAAAACCCTAAACCGTAGTGTCGTACTAACTAACTACTACCGTACGTACGTGTAGAGGTA